AGGTGTGCATCTCAACTAAGGAAGCCATTTTGGGGTTTGCAAGAGACTGGATTCTGGAGGGGTTCCCAGGCCCAAGGAGAGGTTTCCAGATTGTTCCCTGGGCAGCGGAGGAGAAGGTACTTGAACTGGCCTTAGCCCATGACCATACTGATGAATGTTTTGCATATCACCATAGAACCTTCATCTGGCGATGGATGGAGATAGAGACAGAGACACACATTGGAACGCTGGAGGGAGAATATGGGCAAGGAAGGCAGGATCGGAGGGAATCTTCATCAGACGATGGATGGAGATAGAGACGGAGACCCACAATGGAGCACTGGAGTGAGCCCCCAAGGTCCAAATGAGGAGCAGAAGGTGGGAGAACAAGAAAGAGGAAGTCAGGACCCGTGAGGGGTGCGTTCACCCACTGATTCAAGGGGACTGGTCTGGTGGGAGCTTACCAGGGCCAGCTGGACTAGGACTGAACGAGCTGGATGAATGTGATCGGGCCAGATTCTCTGAATGTGGCTGACATGGGGGCTGACTGGGAGGCCATTGACAATGGCGTTGGGTCTTGGTCTGCATGTACTGGCTTTCTGGGATCCTGGTCTGATTGGATGCTCACCTTCCTGGACCTAGAGAAAGGGGGGAGAAACTTGGACTTCCCGCGGGGCAGGAGGCCCTGACTGCTCTTGGGACTGGAGAGGGAGGAAGGGAGGAAGTGGGGGGAATGGGAGGGTATTGGGAGGAGGGGAGGAAGTGGAAATTTTTTATAAATAAATGAATAAATAAATAATGTAAAAAAAAAGAAAGCTTTTGGGGCAGGCAAGATGGTCCGTTGGTTAAGAGCACTTGTTGTTCTTGAAGAGGGACCTGGGTTCAATTCTCAGCACCCACATGGTGGCTCACAATCATCCAGAACTCCAGTTCCAGGGGACCCGGAACCCTCTTCTGACCTCTACAGACATCACGCGTGTATACAGTGCATATACATTGCATATACATATATGCAGGGAAAATAGTCACACATAAACAAATATGAATAGATCTCAGAAGAAGAAAAAGAAATTCTTTTCTGTCCATATATCATAAAGACCTCGCTACTATCTTTTAAAAACTTTATATATTAACTTTTTGTTTTGTTTTGTTTTTTGAGACAGGGTTTCTCTGTAGCTTTGGAGCCTGTCCTAGAACTAGCTCTTGTAGACCAGGCTGCTCTCAAACCCACTGAGATTCACCTGTCTCTGCCTCTCGCATGCTGGGATTAAAGGCGTGCGCCACCACTGCCTGGCTTAAATATTAGCTTTTAAAATGTTTCTTTCACCAATCTGATCACAGGGGAAGGCCAGTTCAGGCACCCTCTCCACTATTGCTAGGAGTCTTAGCTGGGTCATCCTTGTGGATTTCTGAGAATTTCCCTAGCACCAGGTTTCTCCCTAACCCCATAATGGCTCCCTCTATCAGGATATCTCTTTCATTGCTCTCCCACTCCATCCCTCCCCAACTCAGCATCCTGTTCCTTCATGTTCTCATCCTCCACCACCTCCCCTTTACCGCCCCTGCCTTGCTCCCAGTTTACCCAGGAGACCCCATCTACTTCCCCTTCCCAGGGCAATCCATGGTCCTCCTTGTTACCTAGCTTCTCTGGAGCTATGGGTTGCAATCTGGTTCTCCTTTGCTTACATCTAGTATCCACTTGGGAGTGAGTAATCAGACTGGTGACTACCCCAGCTGTCATCATAGAGCCTTCATCCAGTAACTGATGGAACCAGATGCAGAGATCCATAGCCAAGGACCAGGCCAAGCTCCGGGGATCCAGTCGAAGAGAGGGAGGAGAGAATATATGAGCAAGGGAGGCCAAGATCATGATGGAGAAATCTACAGAGACAGCTGAACCAAGCTCGTGGGGACTCGTGATCTCTAAACCAGCAGCTGTGGAGAGTCCAAGGGAACGAACTAAGCCCTCTGCACGCTGGAGATAGTTGTGTAGCTTGGTCTGTCTGAGGGGCCTCTGGAAGTAGGACCAGGATCTATCCCTGGTGCATGAGCTAGCTTGTCGGAACCCATTCCCTACAGGGGAGTGCTCAGCCTTGATGCAGGGGGGAGGGGCTTGGTCCTCCCTCAACTCAAAGTGCCAGGCTTTGTTGGTGCCCCATGAGAGCCTTTACCCTTTGGTAGGAGTGGATAGGATATGGACTGGGGGGAAGCATGAAGGGTACGGGAGGAGGAGTGGGAGGAAGAACTGTGGTTGGAATGTAAAATGAAATTGTAAAAAACATGTTTCTCTGGGGTAAAGAAGTTAAAAATCTGATTTTATGCTTTTCCACGTTTCACTTTTCCAAGCATTACTTTTTTTAAAAGCATTTATTTACATGTTTTGGGTACGTATGTAAAAGCGTGTGTGTCTAGACATGCTTGTGAAAGCCAGAGATCATTCTCTCCTGCTGCGTGGGTTCCAGGTATTGAAATCAGGTCGTCTGGCTTGGCCACGAGTGCCTTTGCTGAGTCGTTTCTCTAACCCTGCACCAACTATTTCTCAAAGTCATTTCTTTCCCCTGCGGTTGGAAACCCCAGCTGCTGTCTGTCTTTCCCATATGTGCGTGGGTCTCTTGCGGGGCTCTGTGTTCTGTTTCGCGCCCCACTCTCTAATTACTATTCCTCCATGATACCACTAAGTCTCATTAGTCTGTAGATTAAGTCTTCTCCACCCCACTGCCTTGTGTTCTTTTCCAAAATTATCTGCTTGTTGATCTTCTTTGTGAATTTTAAGATCAGCTTGTCAAATCCCATCCAAAGCAAAACTTCATTGAGATTTGGGTAGAATTTTAATTGGATTTGCAGATTACTGGTGGAGGTATGGCCAGGATGTTCAGTCTTCTGATCCGTGAATCTTAATTGGATCGCGAACTGCTCAGGAGGCGTTTGCAGGATGGCAAGTCTTCAGATCCAGGAACAAGTCTCTTTGTTTATTTCTGGTCTTCTAATTTTTCCACAGTGCTTTGTAATTTCCTCCATTGAAAGCTTCATAGCTTTGGTCAGTGAGATGGCACAGCGGTAAAAAGCCTTCAGTGTGACAACCTGCATCAATCCCTGGGACCCACATCGCAGAAGGAAGGAATCCCTTCCCACTAATTGTCCTCTAACCATACACACCGACACTGAAGTAGTTAAGCTTGTAAAAGCACTAGCAAGTGGCACTGATCTTTCTTTCTTCTCAGCACTGGAGAGATGATTCCGTGCTTAGGAGCACTGACTATTCTCACAGAGGCTCCGGGTTCAGTTCCCACCACTCACATGGTGATGCACAGGCATCTGTAAGCCCAGTTCCAGAAGGTCTGATTCCCTCTTCCGGCCTCTGCAGGCACCTGCACACACAGATGTGCACACACACACACTCAGAAACAAGCACATACACTTAAAAGACCCAGTTTGCTGGAGTAAGACCACATAATAACAACACTAGCTGTCAGGCCAACACGGACAAACAAAATTCCACAAGGTTCTACCCCTGATGAAGAGCTCTAGGTGGTAAATGGCTGCTGAGAGAGAAAGAATAAGTGCCCCCGAGGGACAAACTCCCACAATATATTGTCCAATCCCAAGTCCTCATCCCTGGACACAACAGCTGAATGGGCTCAGTAGTTTGTATATAAACGAGTTTGTGTGTGCGTGCGTGCGTGTGTGTGTGTGTGTGTGTGTGTGTGTGTGCGTGCTGGCCCTTTTATCCTACAATTGCTAATGCAGAGTTGACAGTACCTCCTGTTTGTAGTCTCTGCCGTATGTAGCCCGATCCTAGAGAGGGCAAGAAACGAACCCAGTAGCAGGCAAGAGGCGGTCTCCACTAACCACTTCACCATCATCTACAATCAAGGAAGTCAATAGCCAGGCACAATAGCACACACAGGTAAGCCCAGCACTTTAAAGGCAGAGGCAGGAGGATGGAAAGCTATAGGCTATCCTGGGCTACACAGCAAGTTCAAGGCTAATGTGATCTAAACAGTCAGGTGCTATCACAAAAACTGAGGCAGGGAGAAAGGTGGAGAGGAGGGAAAGGTATATAATCTGAAGTGAAAAATAGGAAAGTCGAGAGCAGAGTAACCACACAACACTAGGTGTGAGAACTGAGAGTGTTTGCTTTAGGGGTTAGGAATGGGCGGTGTGAGAAGACACAGGACCTCTGATGCAAGCGATTACTCTGCAAGCTTATCAGCTCCCTATAACAGTCATTCCTTATCGCCCATCAGTTTCTATTAGTCAGAAATTTGGAAGCAGTTCTTCCTGGTTCTGATTCAGAAGGCTCCTGTGTTTCCTGGGGACCGCCAGTGAAATGTCTCACCTGCCTTCAAGCCTAAGCCATGAGTTTAATTTTTTTTTCTTTTTGAGACAAGGTCTCCCTATGCGTCCTGCCTGGCCTGGAACATGCTACGTAGACCAGGGTGACCTTGAACTCAGAGATCCTTCTGTCTCAGTCTCCCCAGTGCTGGAATTAAAGATGTGTGTTATCACTCCTGGCTAATTTTTATTCTTGATTCAGTGGGGTCTGTACTTTATATAAATGATACTTAATCTTAAATTCTGACTCTAAATTAATCCTTCTCTATATTAGTGTTAGTTTCTAAACCATTCCTCTTATCTTGATAATTCTGTGTCTACTCCACAGTATATACTGATTTTTTTCCCCATAACTAAACTTACTTCCTTGATTCCTAGTTGATCGTCTCATCTCTATTTGCTCTTGACTTATGGCTTCACTCATTCTTGTTATTTCCAAATGGATTTTAAGTCTTCATTTGCCTTTTTTATCTTTCTAATCATCATGTTTAATTCTTTGAAGACTCACAAAATTAACTTAATCTGGAGTAGATTCATATTCCAAACATTAGATTTGAGATTTGGATTTTTTTTAACCATTAAATTATTTTTTCATGGGTTTCAATTATAATCTCACACTGAGTTGAGAGGCTTTCTCTCAGAAAAATATTTATTCGTTGCACATGAACATAAGGAAGTTAGCCCTCTTTCTGAATCTACGTACTGATGTTGCTGGAGTTGATTTTGGAGGAAAGGAATTCAGGATGCGTCTGTTTCCCGAACTTTCTGTGATGCTCTGTGTCCATGGAGCCAATCTTCTGTCCCCCTCGCAGGTCCTTGTCCCACCCTCTCCCAGCAGCGGAGTCAGCACAGAGTGCAAACCAGAGCCACTGTGCCAGTCCCAGACGAAGAAGCTCTGAGCAGAATAAAACAACTTCAAACAGACCGCCATGTGGGGCTCCAAGGCTCGAAGCTGCTGTAAGAAAAATTCCCTTCTGCTGGCCAGCGGAATGCGGGGTCTCGGAGGCTGAAGCAGGAATGCGCCCCTCTGCCTGGGTCAGTAGCATGGAGGACATATGTATCCATCCTGCTGCCCTGGAGCACATGCGCGAAGATATTTTATAAGAGGAAGGAGAAAGGTCCACAAGACTCTGGAGCGGAGGGTACAGGACACACAGGAAGGCCTTTCTCTAAAGAGCCCCCAGCAGCTGTGCAGACGAGACTAGTGGGAGAAGGCAGGCGGGGCCGGCTTTCAGGGACATGGCTGCCTTTGTGTTCCCCGGGCTCCTGTGAATAACCCCTCACCCATGTTCCTGTGTGCCGTCCATTGAGCTCACCCATTCGCCAGGCTGCATTTCTGCAGACGCCTTTCTTTCCGATTAGCCTGATCTGGGGTGGAGAAAAGTTTGCTCTTGTCTCCTCAGGCAGTGCCACACCACAGATGCGATCTCTCAGGTTGATAGGAGCATCAGATGTTCTTACTGGGCTTGGCAGAGGTCCTCATTCCTCAGAAAATTAAGATTTGAAGTACTCAGGTTACCAGTTGTAATATTGCGTTTACAGGTATAAAAATTTCTATCAGAGTGCCTTCCAGGGTTCAGCTCAACACCAAATCCCAATGGTTCAAGGGAGCACCAGGTCGTGTGGTGATCTGTAGTCCAATAAAGCCACAGTCTGAGCCTGAGATTTGTCTCCTGTGACCATGCTGGCCTCAGCACAGAGTTGAGACAACTGTTAACCAGTCAGTATTATCTTTTCTTTTTTCCAATTAAACTTTTAAATGACAAATTAGTGGCTTTTGTTATGACATTGTCATACACGTACATCACTGCACTTCCCCCATGTTGCCCTCCAGGGGTGTGCTGTTGCTTTCTCTTGGATTTTTCTCTCCGTCTCCGACTCTCTCCACTGGGACCCTAGGCTAGTTGAGACCAAGTCTTGTCACAGTATTTTGGGTCCCCACCACTCTGGGACATGAGGACATCCCAGGTTCAGCCAGATGGAGACATGGCTTGCCTCAGCAGCAGCGGGCCTTCATCCTCGCCTACCCGGCTGAACATGATCACAGAGCTTTCCCCTCCTGGCTTCCTATTACAGTTAGAGGAGCTTCACCACTGCTGCCTTGAAGGAGCCTTCCTGTTCCTCTGTCATGCATGGAGTGCCTCAGAGGCATGGAGCACTTCAGAGGCATGGAGCACCTCAGAGGCTTGGAGCACCTCAGAGGCGTGGAGCACTTCAGAGGCTTGGAGCACCTCAGAGGCGTGGAGCACCTCAGAGGCGTGGAGCACCTCAGAGGTGTGGAGCACCTCAGAGACTTAGAGCACCTTAGAGGCGTGGAGCACCTCCGAGGCGTGGAGCACCTCAGAGACTTGGAGCACCTCCGAGGTGTGGAGCACCTCAGAGGCTTGGAGCACCTCAGAGGCATGGAGCACCTCAGATGTAATTATCAGGAGCTGCACCTCTGGAGGCCCCCCGATACTTCTAGACTCTGAGGTCAGCTAACTTTTTTTTATCTGCTTTCAATAACATAAACATCCATTTCGATCTGCACACTAACGATATCTTTTAGTTTGTCTTTTGCTGCAGTTAGTGTCCATGTGCGTGCACATGTCTGTGCGTGTTTGTGCATGTGTGTGTCTTTGTGTGTGTGCAAGACAGAGGGAAACTTTGGAAAGTCAGTTCTCCTCTCCACCTTGAGCTGGTTGTCTCTGGTTTCAGCCAGGCGGCATGCTCTAGGCTAGCCTTGAGCTTTCAGAGGATCCTCTGTCTCTTCCTCCCTGCTCATAGTAGGAGCTGACTTGTTCAGTCACAGCTCTTCCCCCGGAGCGGCCCACTAGCCCTGCTGTGTTTCTTTGCTCCACGGTTGTAACAGAGGGGAAGTAAGAGGATGAATTCACGGTAGCAACTTGACTGCAGGGAAGAACTGAGTTGTGTGATTGTCATGTCAGTAGGGAAGCCCCATGTTGTCTTTTACTAAATGTAGAAGAGGATATTTTACAAAACTGCGGGAGTTTTAACCCATGAACACTGCCAGAGGGCCAGTGGCTTGCAGTGGAACATACTACTAGTACCAGAGGAGATGCGGTATTGTGCTCCGCCCCCTTACCCCATCGTACGTGCGCATCCACACACAGACTATTCTTTGAAAGAGAAAGCCACTACACGTAGACCAGGCCACAGCAGCCTCTCCCTCCTTCCCTCCCCTTCCTTGGAGCAGAGCTGAGCAGAGGATCTCAGTGGCCAGAGGTCATAAACAGGGCTGGGAGTGTGACTCACTTTTGCAGTTACAGGGTAGCGCCTCCCCCTGGTGGCCGCAAGAGGAAGCTGCGGCGCTCTCAGAGGAGAAAAAGATCAGCAGGGAGCCAAGGTTCCCACACCCACAACCCTGCGGGTCTGCGACGTGCACAGGCAGCCCGAAGGTCCACTTACCCCGGGTCCAGTGCAGCCTAATCTCTGTCTCTTTTGGGACAGGCTCCGTACTCTGACCCTGCGCAGTTCCTACTGGCTCTTGTGAGCATTTGCTGTAGAGGCCTCATGATCCAAAGCAGCAGTTATCAACAGGCAGGTCGCGATGATCCTTTCATGGGGGTGTCTAAGACCATCGGAAAACACAGATATTACTGTTCATAACAGTAGCAAGAGTACAGTTATGAAGTAGCAACAAAAGTAATTTTATGGTTGGGGGTCACCACAACATGAGAAACTACATTAAAGGGTCACAGCATTAGGAAGGTTGAGAACTGCTGTCCTTGAGTGTTCTTTAATGTGGTTCCTCAACCAAATGCTCAGACCCCTCCACGAAGGCCCACAGAACTGAGAAGAAAATCTGTGACAGACCTGGTGAAAATCTCGTCTCTGCTCCTCGCCAGCTGTGTGTCTCTGGACAAGTTACACACGATCTCCCTCCATCAAAGGCTCCTCGTCTGTAAAATAAAGATCGTAACTGCTTATACCATTTTTAGGTGTTTTTATTTTATTTTATTTTATTTTATTTTATTTTATTTTATGTGTATGGGTGTTTTGCCTGCATGTATATAAGTGTTTCACATGTGTGCCTGGTGCCCCAGGTCAGAAGAGAGTGTTAGATCCCCACAACTGGAGTTACAGATGGTAGTTAGCTACCCTGAGGGTGCTGGGAACTCAGGGTCCCTGGAAGTCTGAGTTGTCTCTCCAGCCCCTAAACAGGCTGGTGAAAGATTAAGATCAGATGGTGAGACCCAGGTAGCCCAGAGCTTCTCTGCATTCGCTCTTAGAGGTCACCCATCCTAAGGGCTTTCCTGAACCCTGCCGGCCTGTCAGCTCCTCTGCACCTCGGGCAGCAGAGATGAAGGGAAGTTTTTTGTGGAGGAACCAGGCTCAGATGGCATGGACAAGTAGAAGCTCCACACGGGGGCCAAAGAACCAGGCACACAGGCTGTCTGCTGGTGTTATGGTGAGTTTTTATGGGTCTCTGTCTCGTTCTCTTCCACCCTGTGTAGTCACAGGCCCTGAACCCAGAACACAAGTACAGTCTGGGATCCCTGTCTGTCATGCAGCCCAAGCACTGCCAAGCTGGGCTTGCAGGCAAACCAAAGTTGTGGACGCTCGCTCTGTGTTTTCGTTTGGGGAGAAGGGCACAGCACCTGGAGGAGCCTGGCCAAAGACCCTGCAAATAACCATGCATCTGAGTAACCATCAAATGGAACCACAGATCAAGTCTGCCTGGGAGAGCTGGAAGGGCTACCAGTAGTGGGACTGCTAGCTGGATACCTGAATATAACTTCAAAGTGCTTTCCCTCAATACCTATTACCAGACGCACGCGCACACACACACAGTTTCTGTTCTCTACACGGAACCCAGAGACAAGAAAGCAATCCCTGTTGTCCACGTCTGGGTGACCTTCACGGGAAGGCCAGTTCTTTCCTGTAGAATATAAGCAATTTCACAGGACATCAACCTCAGACAAGGCCACTCAGTAGTTGTGATGGATCCAGACAAAAACAAACCTGCTCAGCCCTTCCTGACACCCCCCTTCCTAAAACCCTCACAGTGCCCCAGGCTGTGTTCCCCTTCACTGCAACAAGCAATAAACCAGTGTGCAGCCTGCATCTCTCAGCAGGTAGACTCCTCAGGGTCTCCGGGTCCAAGGCAGGAACAGGAAGCACGGGGAAAGAGCACTCCAGGTAGTCAGAGCAGGAGCACAAAGCCTCTGGGTTGGGGATGCAAGTGGTGTGTTTGCAAAACAGCAAGGCTGTGGACCACGAGGTGCGCTGTCCCTGGACAGTGTCAGCAGCGCTGTGCTGCTGACACGGGCTGGAG